GGCCACATGACCCTGGGAACGTCTTTCGGACAGCGCTGGCTCTTCGGCTTTGAAACGGAGATGAGCACCGCAACCCTAGAGTCGGATTCGACTGGCTTTCGAGCAAGGGAACCTTTACCTTTACCTTTAGATGGAGCACGCATGTATCTCCCATCCTGCAGGCACGCCACTGGCTGCCCAACAGTTACCGGGCTCAGTTTAAGGTGTTGGCTGTCACCTACAAAGCCCTTCATGGCCTTGGGCCCTCATAGACATGGGACCGCCTCTCCCCCTTATGCTCCACCACGATAGCTTCAATCATCTGAGCAAGGGCTTCTGCTGGGACCGCACAGCTGCCTTCTTTGCTGTGGCCCCCACCTTCTGGAATGGCCTGTTCGAGGAGGTCAGGAAAGCTCCAGCTCCCCTGGATGTCTGCAAACGATGCAAAACTGAATTATTCAGGAGGGCTTTTCTACCCAGGCAATAGGGGCCCTTTCTGAACTCTGAATCCATGTTCACCCAGGTGTTCGCCAAGCGATTGGGCACTAAAATCGAGTTCTACCTTCTTTTTAATCCAGTTCCCCCCCATTCTGCACTAAAACCGAGTTCAACCTTCTTTTTAATCCAGTTTCCCTCCCATTCTGCACTAAAACAGAGTTCACCCCTCTTTTTAATCCAGTTCCCCCCCTTCTGCACTAAAATCGAGTTCAACCTTCTTTTTAATCCAGTTCCCCCCCATTCTGCACTAAAATCGAGTTCACCCCTCTTTTTAATCCAGTTCCCCCCCATTCTGCACTAAAATCGAGTTCAACCTTTCTTTTTAATCCAGTCCCCCCCCCCCTTCTGCACTAAAATCAAACCCTAACCCCTGTAATTATCTTGGGATATTTTTTGTTCCACATTACATTGAGGTCAACCCGGTTTCGCCCCACACTTGTCCCGGGATAAACGGATGCTGTTATAACCAGGGATAAATGCAAGGTTTTGGTCCTTTCTGCACTTGAATCTCATCCCTGGTTTTATCAGAGTTCAGCTCGTGACACCAAATACCTTGCATTTATCCCTGGTTACAACAGCATCCGTTTATCCCGGGCCAAGTGTGGGGCAAAACCAGGGTGACCTCAATGTAATGGGGAAACAAAAAATAAGGTAAAGGTTCCCTTGCTCGAAAGCCAGTCGAATCCGACTCTAGGGTTGCGGTGCTCATCTCCTTGATAATTACAGGGGTGAACTTGCGTGTAGGGTGGAATGTAAGTTTGGGGACAGGGTCGAACCAGGATTTATGGTCTAGTGCGGAATCACCCATTGTGTTGCGAGTTGAACTCTGATAAACCCAGGAATGAGATCCAAGTGCAGAAAGGACCAAAGTTACTTGGGGAAAAATTATTAGGGACTACGGTCTATACTGGGGGCCACGGTGGCTCAGAGGTTAAGACGCTGAACTGCAGACCGGAAGGTCGGTAGCTCGGCAGTTCGAGACCCGAGTGTCACATGTGTTTTAATGTGTTATATTTTAACTGCACTGTTGTGCCGTGTAAGCCGCCCTGAGCCCGCATGCGGGGAGGGCGGGGTATAAATGAAATTAAATAAATAAATAAAAAATGACGGAGTGAGCTCCCGTCTCTGGCCCCAGCTCCTGCCAACCTAGCAGTTCGAAAGCAAGAAATTGCAAGTAGATCAATAGGTACCACTTTGGTGGGAAGGTAACAGTGTTCTGTGTGCCTTGACATTTAGTCATGCTGGCCACAGACAGCGCTGGCTCTTCGGCTTGGAAACGGAGATGAGCACCACCCCCTAGAGTCGGATTCGACTGGCTTTCGAGCAAGGGAAACCTTTACCATCCATACTAGTGTGTATAGCTTGCTGAAGCTAGGATCGTCCTATGTAATTTTTTGCATCATTTAATGTGTCATGTTAATATTTATGCTTCGCTTCTGTTTTTAGACTCCTCGTGGGCGCCGCAACCAAATCCCTAGCGCAGTGTTCTTTGAATATCCCATCCTGTCAATTGTATCGACTCACTCTTTGTAATTTTCCTTGAGTCCCAATGAGAAAGACGAACTATACATAAGATAAAAGAATAAAAGAATAAATAAATGAATAGAACTAAATACTAATACTTCTCTGTAAACCGCTCCGAGCCTTCGGGAAGGAGCGGTATATAAGCTGAAATAAATAAATAAATAAAATGTTATTGGACAGATTTGTAGAAGACAAGCCTGTCAATGGTTATGATAGCTGGATGGACCCTCCATGTTCAGAGGCAGTCTACCTTGGAGAGTCCTAGTGGGAAACAAAAGAAGTCTGCCATGTTGGTGAGTTTAAAAGAAGGATCGGGGGGGGGGTGGCCGCTGCTGGAGACAAGAGGCCGGAAACAAAGAGAGTGGACTAGCTGGAACTCCAGCCTCATCCTGCAAAGGCCGTCATGTGACACCCCGAAAGGAATGCGGAAATGCACCTTCTTTGGGGCATGAGACATCTTTTTTGGGAAAGCTAACCTGAAGGACGCTGAACTGCAGGGTGTAGAAGGTCAGTAGCTCAGCAGTTCGAGACCCGAGTTGCCACATGACGGAGTGAGCTCCCGTCTCTAGTTCCAGCTCCTGTCAACCTAGCAGTTCGAAAGCAAGAAATTGCAAGTAGATAAATTCAGTGGGAAGGTGACAGTGTTCCGTGCGCCTTGGTGTTTAGTCATGCCGGCCACATGACCACGGAAACGTCTTCGGACAGCGCTGGCTCTTCGGCTTTGAAACGGAGATGAGCACCGCAACCCTAGAGTCGGATTCGACTGGCTTTCGAGCAAGGGAACCTTTACCTTTACCTTTAACCTGAAGGACACCCACCTGGATGAGCAAGAGGTCGTTGTAGATGTTCTCCACGCTGCTGTTAGGGTGGGGGAAGAGCTTTCGGACTCCCAGCAGGCGCTTGTTCGGTTCCGCCTCCGAGAGGGAATGGGCCCCCACGAGGACCTGTAATGTCGCGTTGCCCCTGTGAATGTGGTGGGGGAGGGGGTTAGCCTGCGCCATTTGCACCCGGCACGTGACATGATTCTGAACCTAGAGCCAAAAGCAACCTCCCTTTCCTGACCCCTCGCTTCCGTCCCAAACCCCAGGAGAGGAACGTAGCGTACCTATGTCCCTAGGGTTGCCAAACTCCAGGTGGTGCCTGGAGGTCTCCCACTATTACAACAGATCGGCAGGCAACGGTGATCAGTTCCCCCGGAGGAAATGGCCGCTTTGGAAGGCAGACTCTATGACGTTGCACCCCCGCTGAAATCTCTCTCCCCTCTAGAAAACCAGGCCCTCTTCAGGCTTCACCCCCCAAATCTCCAAGTATCTCCTGACCTGGAGCCAGCCGGCAACCCAATTTGTCCCCCTTGCAGGGGCTCTCCAAGGTCCTGAAGCAGAAGAAGGTCTTTCCCAGCATCTGAGATGGTGGCTCCACCCAAAGTATTGCCAGCTTGGGGTAGTGGTTAGGAGCGTGGACTCTAATCTGGGAGAACCGGGTTTGAGTCCCCACTCCTCCACATGCAGCTGCTGGTGTGACCTTGGGTCAGTCACAAGTTCTCTCAGAGCTGTTCCCTCAAGGGCAGTCCTCGAAAGAGCTCTCTCAGCCTCACCTACCTCACAGGGAGTCTGTTGTCAGGAGGGGAAGGGAAAGGAGATTGTAAGCCACTCTGAGATGCGTTCGAGTAGTGAAGGGCGGGGTACAAATTCAATCTCTTCTTCTTCTTCCCTCCCCAGATCGGTGCTCACCAACCTGGTGAAAGGGTACGACCCTTTTGCCCACCCCAGAGGGAAAAAGTGTAATACTTACGCATCCTGCAAGCAATGTGCCGCACTCAGCACCCACTGGTCAGCAATGAGGAACCCTCCGCAGATGTGCTTCCCCGACACTTGCAAAGATGTCATGTAGGGTCTTTGGTGGGCGGGCGTCTCCTGTCCCCGCAGAATTCGGCCTCGGGGCCGGGCCTCTGTAAGGGCAGCAGAAGTACACACACTTAACCACCCGGTTTTAGCCCTTTCACCAAACTACATTTCCCAGGATCCATTGGGAAAGGTGGGGGGGGCAAGCCAAGCTAGTTAAATACATATAAAATCAGTACTGGTTTGCAGCTGCTAGAGCATCACCAGAAATGCATTAATTAGATCCTTCAAAAGCATCCTGCGGCCCTCCAACCTGCAGAGGAGGTTCCCCGCTGTGTCTTTGGGAGCGTTGGCAGATTCCTCCTGGCCACCTAGGTGGGATGCCAAGTCCAGGTTGAGAAACTCCTGGAGATTTGGGGGTGGAACCTGGGGAGGGCAGGGACCTCAGTGGGGTGCGATGCCACAGAGGCCACCCTCCAAAGCAGCCGTTTTCTCCAGGGGAACTGATCCCTGTAATCTGGAGACGAGCTGTAATTCTGGGGCAACTCCTGGCCCCACCTGGAGGCTGGCATCCCTAGATTCTCTGGCCATGGACTCCTTCCAGTCGATATCTCCTGTCAGGAAGTCGTTCTGCCACCTTCGTAGATGCCGCAGAATCTCCAGTTGCATCTCTGTGTGAGTCATTTTCAGTTGGGTGACACCTCCCCTGGCAAAGAGGGACTTGCTCAGAGAGAAACCTAGAGGATGCCATTCTCTGAAAGCAGGGAGCTGACTCTTACATGGGTTAACGGCAGGGGTCATTTCCTGCGAGAGCGCACAGGAGCGGAGCTCCGGCAGTAAGGAGCCCAGGGGGCGGGCACATGCAGCAAGCCCCGCCCCCTGCTCCCAGCAGCCCTCAGTCAGAGCAAGAAGCAGCCAGGTAAATTGCAGAGCCCCCCCCCTC